TGCAAGGCAAGGACTCGTTAAGGGGTCACCGGGTTGGTAACAAAAACAGTAAGGAACTGACACAAAATAGATTCATAAACCAAAGGAAAAGAATAGAAAGCCCAGAAACAAACTCACTTATATACTGTCAAATGCTCTTGACGAGGCTGCACAGTGGGGAAAGGACAGTCCCTTTGACAAACAGATTTGGGAGCATTGGATATCCACGTGCAAAAGAATGAACTTGGACCCTTACACCATCACAAAAATCACCTCAACATGGATTAAAGACTTAAATATAAGACCTGAAAGTATAAAATTCATACAAGAAAACATAGAAGAAAAGCTCTAACATTGGTATTGGCAGGGTTTCTTGTATATGACATGAAAACACAGGCAGCAAAAGCAAAAATAGACAAGTGGGACTACATCGAACTGAAAAGCTCCTGTGCAGCAAAGGAAATAATGGAGCAGAAAGAAACTTATGGAATGGGAGAAAATATTTGCAACTAGTAATAGCTCATAATAGGTTAATATCCAAAATATATTAATATATTTTAATATATTTGCAAATGTATACTTACAAATGTATTAATATTTTACCATATTTATAAATATATTAATATTTAATATATAATAATAAGGAACTCCTACAACTAAACAGCAGAAAAACAAATAACTTGACGTAAAAATGGACAAAGGACTTGAACAGGCATTTCCCCAAAGAAAACAAACGAAAAGCCAGCAGATATTTGAAAACATGCTGAATATTACTAATTATCAGGGAAATGCAAATCAAAACTATAAGTTATTATCTCACAGCTGTTAGAATGGTCTTTATCAAGAAAACAGAAAATAACAAGTATTGCCAAGGATGAGGGGAAATCAGAAACCTTGTGTACTGTTGGTGTATATGTATAATGGAATATTATTTAGCCTTATAAAAGAAGGAAATCCTGTCATAAGCTATAATATAAAAAAAACTTGAGGACATTATGCCAAGTGAAATAAGTCAGTTACAGAAGGACAGGTAATCCATGATTCCTTTTATATGAGGTAGCTACTTAAATCCATAAAAGCAGAAAGCAGAATGGTGGTTGCCAGAGTCTGGGGGGAAGGGATCGTGGGGGTTGCTGTTCAGTATAGGAACATTTTATTCGTGCCAAATGAAAAAGTTCTAGAGATTTGCTTTACAACAATGCTTTACTGTGTGCTTAAAAATTTGCGGAGAATAGATTCCATATTATGTGTTTTTACTACATTAAAAAAAAAAAAGTGGATCCTGTAGTCCCCAGTTCTGCTGAATACGGGGAGGTTAAGTGGTGTGCAAGTAGACGATCAAGGCCTGCGATAAAGGGTATTTTCATTTTTTATTCTTATATAATAATATTTTCTCAATTAAAAAAAAAGCTTGTATTCATGTATTACTTGTGTTATATGGAAATAAAACAACATGGTTCCAGTTTTTTGGAAAATGGATTACTTCCAGAGTTACTGGTCCTTTCTAGCATAGTAGGCTTTACTCCTCGGGTCAGTGAGGCAACATGGGGAATCTGCTTATTGGGTATGTTTTGGGTGCATCCAGGAATTGAGGAAATCACTAATAAGGGCTTTTACAGACTCGCTTGGTCCACTGCATTATAAATTTAGGCCAAAATTTTGCTTATCTCCTGACTTCCATAAACATCCTCTCTGATGGATAGGCCACAGAAGTGTTTCATTTTCCAGGGTTTATCTTAGTTCAGAATCAACATCTCACCCTAGAAAAGTCTGTTTTCCTCTTCCTTGGGTACAATCAACTTGGTAAATAATTGCATGGCCCTTAGTAGAAGGATAGAAAGAAAATTACTGGATACACATAAGGCAACAAGTGCTGGCCTCTTCCTTGTGCAAACATTCCAGGGCTATGAATTGGCTCAAGTCTTAGAACTGGAAGAGAGGCTGCGATTCTATATCGTGAAGCAAAACTGTTCTCTTTCCACTAAACCTTTCATTTTTCACTTGTGTAGATTCTGGAGGTTTCATTTGTTAGTTTTCTAATGTGAAATCAATTGTTATTCCTGGGATAAACTCAGCTTGGTCATAAGTTATTATACCTTTCACATCTTGCTAACATCTTCACAGTTACTTTCATCTATGTTCACAAGTGAATTGGTATGCCATTTTTATTCACAAAATGATCTTGTCAGGTTTGGTACCAGGATAATGCCAGCTTCATTACATGAGTTGAATAGTATTTCCTCTTTACTTATTCACTAGAAGAAATTGCAGAGACTTTGAATTTTTTCCTTAAATATTTGACAAAACTCTGGAGGAATCTACCTAGAGCTTAATTTTTCTTTGTGCAAATATTTTTTGACTAATTTAGTTTCTTTAGTGGTGGTAGGTCTGTGAACTTTTCTATTTCTTGAGTTAGTATCAGTGATGTTAATTTTTCTAAGAATATGGTCTTTGTATTTGAGTTTAAAATGTACTGGAATGACATTTTTCATAACAGGTTCTTTATTACTCTTAATACGTGCAACACCTACTGTGTCTAAATACTAAATTCTGACATTTAGTCATGTCTCCCTTCTCTGTTTCGCTTCTTCAGTTTTTCCAGAGCTTTGCTAAAATTATTAGTCATTTGTGAGAAACAACTTTGGACTTTGTTCATCTCCTCTACTATTTTAGGTTATCTTCTGTGTAATACATGTCTCTTGCTTTTGTTATTTCCTTTCTTCTGCTTTCTCTGTATTCACTTCAGATGTCTGGATAGTTATTGAGAAAGATATAAATGTCTCTATTCTTTCATTCCCCTTACTGGTAACATTTACAAATTTATAAAATTCAGATGTGCGCATGCTAACATTTTTAAAAAAGCAGTCTAAAGTATGTGGTTCTCTTTTTGTGACTGCTAGAAATCAATAAGGAACGGCAAGCTGTGTAACCTTTGTTACACAGGCAAATACATTTCACTACATGGTTGCTTGAGATACCTAGGAAAGCAGACCAGCAACTGGAGCTTATAACTATAGTAGATTTGGTTGGAAAACCTTAATTATTACTCTGTTAGCTTCTTTTGTTTATTTATTTATTTCTTCTGTTTTTATCAGTTCATCAGCCTAGCACAGGTGGCTCTGGCAAGGCAGCCTTAGTAGCAGATAAAACGGTAACCTCACGTCTTTTCCTAAGCATGGCCTATAAAGTTTCCAGCCAGGCAGTGAAAATGAGCTCAGGGGCAAGAATCAGATTAAAATGTGGGGCTCTCAATCTATTAAAGGTAGAGTGAGAGAGGCCAGTGGATTAAGGTCTATGGTATTTAAGAATAAAAAATCTTTTGATGAGATTTTTTGCTTATAATTACATGTAGATAGAATTGGCTAGAAGCCTACTCATTTCTTTTGTAAGAAATTTTATTTCCAAAGACACACAAGCTACCTACAACGGCATGTCATTTTTCTAACCCTACAGCAAAACTCTGGCCTCAAACCTGTACTATCATGATGTGGACTGCACAAAATATCCAGCTTCTAAAAAGGACATACTCTCCAGTGTTTTGATTATGAAGGATAAGGACAAGGAAAGTCCCCCAAAGGACAAAACCAAGGACCGCAGTGACAGTATCTAGGGGCATTGTCATGCACTACGTATGTGTTAATGAAGGAACTTAATTCAGTGACAAAACAGATTTTTCACCAGTCCTGCCTGGAGGGGTTTGATGGTTACTGTAGTTCAGTGACTGGGAGGAATTTCCAGTGCTTCCTCTCAAAAGAGAGTTTTAAGAGCATTTGTGCTATTCCTTTTCCACCATTTTAGATTGACGTTGAGGTGGGAAAGTCTCATTTTCTTTTATGTTTTACTGTTGTGAACATGATGAGCCACATCAAGATGAATTATTTCCTTTGGAATATTCACTTCCCCTACAAAGGAGAAAATTCCAAAGTTGCATCCAGTGCAAAGTCCACCTCTGGGTGCTGTGCGGTCCTCTCCATCAAGTCTTGGTGTGACTCCCCATGTTTTGGTTTGATGTGTGGGAAAGGGAATTTGAACTTCCAGGGGAGAGATAGGCAGTGGACTGTGGCAATGTTACTAAGTCCAAACTCGTTCTGCTCTCTGCACAACAGGCCAGTAAATCAGGAGATGAGATCTTGGGGCAAGGAATAACAACTTTGTTTGGAAAGCCAGCAGATTGAGAAGATGGCCAATTAATGTCCTAGAGAACCATCTTATCCAAATAACAATTCAGGCTTCTTTTGTACCAAGAAGGGGATAGGGTGTGGTTGCTTGTTGCAGACTTCTTGGTGTTGGAATCCTTTGTTCTTGCCACTGTCCACATAGGTCAGATGTTCTTGTAATCCTCCAACAGGACAAATGTTATTCTTTGTTCTGCAACTTTTTATCTCTGTATGAGTGGGAAAATGTTGTACCCTTAAAGGTCAGAGCCTGAGAATAGGCTATCCTGTATATTTCAGGCTATAGGTGACGTTCTTTTATAAAAGATGCAGAACCAGGATGACTTAGCACAGCAAACAGAGCACAGGGTTAGAGCTAAAGAAACTGATATAAAATGGAGTCAGATTTGTTTTTCTCTGTTACAGCAAGACTGATAGCTGCCCCTTTAGAGAGCCATTGTACCCTTTTATAGTAACAGAATTTTAGTGAGGCATACGGCTGCACAGCTGTAAAGATAATTCCTAGCTTCCTCTGTATCAAATGTGCCTGTGCCCTGGCCCAT